CTGAAAACATTCAGTTTGGCATTACTTGTAACGTATCTTATTGAAATAAAATCCTTCCCGTGTTTCCCGGACTTTGGACTTCTCCTTCAGTCACAAAAATGGTTGTTGCTTCCTTGTCCTTGTGTTTCGTTTAATGTTTGTAATACCAACAACTTGTCTGAAATACGGTTCACAGGCGTAATAAGATATATAATATTACATGTCCTTCTTTTGTTTGATTGGGATGACTCAGTAAGGGAATTTTATAGATGTTTAATTGATTTAGATAAAATGTTAGGTTCCAGAGGTTCTTACTGATCCATAACCTGGAACGTCGGTCAGTTTCCACCAGACTACACAGTGGAGTATTTCAGAAGACAAATATCTCCAGGTTTTAGTATTAATAGTCTCTATGTTGCGAATGGTGTGGGATGTGTGCCGACGTTGGATAATAGTTACCGTTATTATCGATATATCTCTTGGCACCGGCTGCTACACTCAATTAAAACCAACTGCTGTCGCCAAATCGTTCTAAGGTTAGCGGCACTATTTAGGACTACGCATGCGTGTCATCAGACGACGCTCGACTTTTGTTTCGTAACTATAATCGTGTTGATAATTGATTTTGGTATCGTGTTAGGCGAAGTGGGAGTTATGCGTACGAAATTATATAAGGAGAAAGTATCAGAAACATATTATCGATTTCAGAGTTACAGAAAATGCATGTTTATTAATGTGGGTTGGGGAAGAAGATAATTTGCCTTTGCAGGAAACCAAGTAATAAAACTGATGAACTGTGATTTATTATACATTTCAACAATTTTTTATCTCTCCCATCTCTAAAACATGTCAGTTTCACTTACATTATTAAGGGAGTCTGAGAACTGATGACCTAGGGTAATTTAATTGAAGTTATAATAAATCACAATTCTTCATATCCCTCTGCCTCATAGAAATACAAAATACATTTTTTCGTAAATATTTTGGTTTTGAAGACTGCTTCTTGTAGTATGTTTTCTTTCAGGGCCTGGGTAAATATTCCAAGTTTCATACAGTTATCAGGAGTACAAAGTGATGTCATTAGCAGTCTTGTAAGCCACTTTGTTACACAGTCCACAAATCACTATGTGTGATGAATGAGATTTAAAATCAAAAACATTTCTGCAGTCTTTTGCAACAAGAATGCCAAAAATTATGTATCAGAGAGATGAAGAAATGGTTCCTTCTCCAAAAGAAAGTTTGGTGAGTAATTTTAGTTTGCTGGTTCAGTCCCACCATTGTCCCAGCTGACCTGTCTTCCCACTATATAAATCTTTATACTTGCTAACCTGTACAGTACAGGTAAACATTTGTCCGTTTTCCCATTCAGAGTGGTCTGAAACAAGGAAGTGCATTGTCACCATTGCATTTCAACTTCCCTTTAGGATGAGTAATTTGAAATGTCCAAGGTAACAAGTTAAGGACTGGAATTGATGAAAAACATCAGCTTGTTGGTCTGCTGTTAATTTATTGGGTACAATAAATATCAAAATGAAGGCAAAGAAGCTGTGTCAGTTGCTAGTAAGTAGGTTGATTGAAAAGTAAACACAGGATTGAGTGTATGTTCATATCACCAGACTGCAGGACAGAATCATGAAGATGTATAAAGATAACTATTACAGCCTTTAAAAATGTGTCAGAGTTCATATACTTGTAGTGATTGTAAAAAATCAATTTTATTCATGAAGGTTAAGAGCAGATTAATTGTTTGAATGCTTACTATTACACTGACTGTCTCAAGGTTTGCATATTGAACACAGAAGATATGTTATCTAACAAAACTATCATTGATTTATAATTTTACAGCAAAAGGCTGATATAATCAAAGTAGAAAGTGGTATCAGTGTTCTGAGTGAAGAAGATTTTACTGGCATGAAAACTGATGAGGTCTACGTACCATCAGCATTTTCCTTAGTGAAGGTTGAACCTGAGGTAAGCTTTGTTTTCATATTATTTTGTGGTTGTTGCTGATGTATGTGTATATGGGTTTACAAGTCATTTATAATATAACATCCATTTCAGAGAATGCTCACAATATTACATTATATGAACAGAATATTTGTAGCTGTGAAACGTAAAGTAACGTCATTACTGCACCATGATTTAGCTGTGCCGTGGTGGTTAATCCTGTCATAATAAGATTAAATTGCATTGTCTGAATTGGGTGGTATATCTTAATTCATTAGGTGATACCATATAACATAGAAATACTTTTGCAAGCCATTTAAAGAATTGATCTCCAATGTAAGTGTAATGAAAACTAAACATTCACATGTATCATAGATAAAGGAGACTATATAGTATATATAGTAGTGAAGAAGTTGTTTCACAGTGGCTAAAGAATGCTGTATAATGAGGAACTTTATAATTTGTATTCTTCATCAGATATTATTATGATCACATCAAGGACAAGCATGGCATATAGCATGTATGGGAAAGATGGTAGATAGATGAATACAAAATTTAAGATGGAAAACTTGAAGAGACAACTTGTGAGATCTAGGCATAGGTAGGAGCATGATTTTAAAATGTATCTTAGTAAGTTAGGCTGGTGTGTACTGGAACTATATGGTTCAACATAAGGACCAGTGGCAGGCTGTGTATGATATAATGAATGTTCTATAAAAGAAAGTGAATTTCTAACTGGCTGAGCCAGTGTTAGCTTCTCAAGAAGCACTCTGTTCCATGGAGCTAATTGGTTATGTGGATGGCAGTGACAAAATAAGAAATTCCTCTAACCTTATATTTTGGATGCTTCTGCATATATTCTGGTTATGATTTCATTTTTATTTGTTAAATCTATTCAAAATAGCTATTATCAGTTTGATGCCCTGCAACCAGTTGCAGTGAAAGTTTATTCAATTTCATGTAATTTTAAAGCAGTCATGATTAATAAGGATGTAGTGATTTTACAGAACTACATATACTTATTGAAAGTTGTACCTGTTTCACGTAGTGGTACTTGTCTAACATGTTTTCATGATGGATTGCAGGTTATTGATATAAAAGTTGAGGTCACAGATATACAAGAGGAAACAGAGGAGGAGGATCCACTGTCAGGGACATTTCCAGTAATAAAGCCTGAACATGAGGTGAGTTGTATGTCTGTGTGTACATTTTTACACACATTTCACAGTTAATCCAGAATTTGCTGTTGTTAAATATACAGACTAATTTCTCATAATTTCCACACCTCACTACAGTACTTGCAAGTTCTTCCCTTCAACCAAAATTACAAAGTAGCAAATGCAAGTGACAGTTCAAACAGCATTCATTATTCATTTTAATATTCAGGTTTTAACATGGTATCATATATAAGTCATCAGTGAATGTGTTGCTAAATAATGTAATGGCATTTAGCATATTGCCCCATTGCTCATCTCATTTAATGTTGTTGTCCAGATACATATGTCTTAATTGAATAAACTCAGGATACAAAAGGTAACTCATTTCATTCATCTATCTGCACTCATACAAGCTTGATGTGGTAGCATCTGTAATCAGTTCATTAGGCACCACTCATAACAGTTATGTTTATAATAATTATAACCCTCAATCACACTTTCAAGATAATTCTTCTTCCTGTTAAGGATTAGTCTAATGTTTTTCTCTTTCCATTTTACCAGATTACTCTGGATGAACATCAGTTCATACATGGTGAGATTCATCCATGTTCCTCTGGTGTACATGATAAATCATTCACTGAGAGCAGCCTTCTGAACTTACATAGTGAGGAGCATCCATATATGTGTAATGTTTGTAATAAATCATTTAGTGACCAGAGTAAACTGAAGAGACATCAGCACATTCATAGTCGGGAGCGTCCATATTTATGTGATGTTTGTAATAAATCATTTAGTGACCAGAGTAAACTGAAGAGACATCAGCACATTCATAGTCGGGAGCGTCCATATTTATGTGATGTTTGTAATAAATCATTTAGTGACCAGAGTAAACTGAAGAGACATCAGCACATTCATAGTCGGGAGCGTCCATATTTATGTGATGTTTGTAATAAATCATTTAGTGACCAGAGTAAACTGAAGAGACATCTGTATATTCATAGTGGGGAGCGTCCTTATTCTTGTGATATGTGCAATAAATCATTCATTGAGCATAGTAAACTGAAGAGACATCAGCACATTCATAGTCGGGAGCGTCCATATTTATGTGATGTTTGTAATAAATCATTTAGTGACCAGAGTAAACTGAAGAGACATCTGTATATTCATAGTGGGGAGCGTCCTTATTCTTGTGATATGTGCAATAAATCATTCATTGAGCATAGTAAACTGAAGAGACATCAGCACATTCATAGTGCGGAACATCCATATTTATGTGATGTGTGTAATAAATCATTTAGTGAGCAGAGTAATCTGATTAGACATCAACACATTCATAGTGTTGAGTGTCCATATGTCTGTAATGTTTGTAACAAATCGTTTAGTGACCAAAGGACACTGAGGAGACATCTGCGGATTCATAGTGGCGAGCGTCCGTATGCATGTAATATTTGTAACAAATCTTTCATTGACCAGAGTAAATTGAAGAGACATTTGCACATACATAGTGGGGAGCGTCCATATTTATGTGATGTGTGTAATAAATCATTCAGTGACCAGAGTAAACTGAGGAGACATCTGCATATTCATAGTGGGCAACGTCCACATACGTGCAATGTGTGTAATAAATCATTTAGTGACCAGAGTAATCTGATTAAACATCAACGCATTCATAGTGGGGAGCGTCCATATGCATGTAATGTTTGTAACAAATCATTTATTGACCAAAGTACACTGAAGAGACATCTGCGGATTCATAGTGGCGAGCGTCCGTATGCTTGTAGTGTTTGTAACAAATCATTTAATGACCACACTAAATTGAAGAGACATAGGCACATACATAGCAGGGAACGTCCATATGCATGTAATATTTGTAGTAAATCATTCAGTGACCAGAGTAAAGTGAAGAGACATCTGCATATTCATAGTGGAGAGCATTCATAAGACTCGTGTGTAATAAATCATTCAGTTAGCAAAAAGTATGCATTATTTTTACACTGCTCTCCAGGAAAATATAACTTCGAGGTAAGAGTAAAAATGTCACTTGCTTTCCTAGCCAAATATCACATTGGTATTTGTTACCCTGTCAGTCAAATTACCATCTTAACAGGCATTTGTTTTGGCCTCATAGAGATGTTCCATGGGGTAGAAACTTAACACAGAAATTATCTTAAGCTGTCTAGTTCCTCTTGCTAATGGGATACATATAAGGCAGCTTTCAGTAACAGCTTGATATCAGTGTTCATATTGATATATATATACGAGGGTGAGTCAAATGAAAACCGTAATTTTTTTTTTAAATTTAATTTATTGAGTGAAAGCGGTACACAACTATATCATTTTTCTACATAGTCTCCATTTCGTTCAATACAGGCCCTCCAGCGTTTACGAAGTGTATGGATTCCTCTAGAAAAAAATTCTTGTGGTTGTCTGCACAACCACTCATGCACCGCCTGCTGTACCTCTTCATCAGAACGGAACTTCTTTCCTCCCATCGCCTCTTTGAGTGGCCCAAACATGTGGTAATCACTTGGGGCTAGGTCTAGTGAGTATGGCGGATGTGGAAGACACTCAAAGTGCAAGTCTTTGATTGTTGCACTGGCAGAGTGGTGCCGAGCATTGTCATGTCAAGGACACCTATAGTCAAAAGTCCACGTCACTTTGATCTGACTGCAGGTCAAAGATGATTCTTTAAGATTCTTCACTGATCAAAAAACGAATTACAGAACGTTGTTCTTCTTTCGTGCACGTAACTAGTGGAGCAGCCATTTTCAAATTGGCACTGTGATGGCGATATGTTTGTCTGCATTATACTACCACCTATAGGATACTCTTTATAGCATTGGTAACATGTCTGCCAACTTATAGGACAATGGCGCGATATTTCGAATTTTTATCTCAGTTTTACGGTTTTCATTTGACTCACCCTCGTATATACACACACAACACAATGCTGATGTATGTAATGGTTGAAGATTTCTGTCTTCTGGGTTGTTACACTGTGTAGTCTGGTAGATGTTTACCAACGTTTCAGAGGTCATACTGCCTCCGTCATCAGGGCCTCTGAAACGTTGGTAAACATCGACCATACTGCACAATGCAACAACCCAGAAGACAGAAATCTTCATACTCACCGCCGTGAAAACCTCAAATCTTACGTATGTAATGGTTGTGTGTATACATCTTTTGAGGACATTCTGTATTCCATACTAAATAAATGTATTGTTAGGATCTCCATAAACAGAAAAGTAATATGACCTGGATACCTCCAATGACACAAGGTTAATTAAAACACTAGTGTAAAGAAACAAGGGGTCTGCAGTGGCCGCGCAGTCTGAGGCGTGGGCCTTGTGCCGCTTGGTCGCTGGGACCGTGGGTTTGAATCCCACTCAAGCCATGGATGTTTGTCTGTGTTGTGCTGTCCTATGTACAGGTAGAGGCCTTGCGACAGGCCAATCCCTTGTTCAAGGAGTCCTACCGAATGTCTATAGATGAAGCCAACGAAAAGTTGGGACCCACAGTGCTCAGGCACTTGAAGAACGGGTCATTCCCAGTATCCCAGTAAAGAAACAATTAAGTGCAAAAAAATTCTAATTATTTCCACATACTTGTTACAGTTTATACAAAAGTTTATGTTGCCATGATGTATGGTTGAGTCTAAGATTACAATCTACTACAATGGTCATTAGCAGACTTTTTTGGTTTCAGTGGGCAAAGTCAGTTAGAACCAAAAGTATCCACTAATTCCTTGCATCCAGAAGAAATCTGACAATGCCAGACAGTTTCCATTAAAACTGAAATCCATCAAATTGAGGTCTGTTAATTCAAGGGTTTACTGAATTAGAGAAACTGAGATGCATTGTACATTATTTTGACACTAATGCTGTCCTTAATATAATATATACCCAGTGTTGATTAGACATAGTATGAAGGCATAAACACTGTAAGAAGAGTGGATGATATAAGGGGAAATAGAATTTAACTGGGAGTGTGAAAGGTAGAAATTTGAATAAGCAGCTACTAGAGAAATCAGAGACATGCTGGAGAAGCCAAAGTGGGATTGTATACTAACATGAGTAGGGAAGTAGCAAGGTATAGGGGAGGAACACTGAGAACTATGGAGAAGGCTTTGTTACAAGATGATTCACCATGGGAGAAACAGCAATGAGTGATGTTTATGTTGACTTCTGTACCTAGACAAAGATACTGAAGATTAAAATGTTGGCACCTATATAATGTACTGATTTCCAACACGGGTTCCCTTGCCTTCTGCACACATTGATCAACTGTACTTCTGTTCTCTTCTACTGCATGTTTAGTGAAATTGTTATTAGACAGTTCGTTCTTGTCCCAGTTTGGTTCTGGTAATTGCAGGACATGCTGTACATGATGTGCATGTAACCTACAAAATGATAAACTGAAAGTTGGAGAAGTTGTGATGTAAGAAAAGAAAAATGGAATTCTGGATCTGTTTTACAAAATATTATAAGCTTCTAAGTACAGAGTAGAAATATGTATGCCAGTACAGTCAAATATTGTTTTGCCTTACATTTATGAAAATATTTAGAGTATGGAAAAATAAATATGTGGTGGCTCTGACTGACCTCTGTACTTTGCATCACATGTAACTTTCATGAAGAATGTACCAATTGTCAGTACACAATAAATCTACATTTGAGCTGAATGTAGTAGTAGTTCTACTGCACTGATAAATGCCAATAGCAAACCTTCCTGCCAGCTTTCCACTGTAGGCTCCATAATTCCATCCCTAGTTTAAATCAGTTCATTTCTTTCTGAGACAAACTTGCGGACAGACAGATGTGACCATCTCATAATGTATTCATTTGCTGTACACTGTGCAAAGAATGTGTAAATTAAATTCTTTGCGTGTATTATAGGGCATTCATAAGCTGCTTAATAAATTACCATTCTTTATATTATGAAGGACCACTCAAATTTAAGATGGCTACAAACTGAAATGTCACATGACATGTATACCAAAGACTGAACTGCAACTAGTATAATTACCATGGCTCAAGATTACAGAACTGAAAAAGTTGGCATAACACTAATGCTTAATACTTTGTATTTTGAAGGTGCCAGATTAAAATTTCTGCCAAGTTAACTATCCTGAGATTCTTCACACATTACCACTCTCTTCTTAATAGTATTAACAAACTGTCCGCTGCAGATTTGAACTCTTTAGGGTCCTTGTAATCCTCCACGTAACTTTCTTTAAACTTAATGCTACCTCAGAAGGTGAATGAACTCTCGTTATTTTTTCTGGGTGTTGAATTGCAGATGTTGCCTGATCAATTGGTAACCTACTCCCTCCCTCTGTTGTCCATGTAGCACATGCAGATTCTGTTCAATCTTCAACATTATGTTAAAGTAAAATAAAAAGCCCAACTGTCAGAATATTGGAAGGCCAAGTGAAGAAACTGCAGAGATGAAGATGAGCCCATATAATGTAGAAAACAAATTCAGAAGATAGAAAAATTACAACAGAGTAATTATTTACTTACGATATTGCTTTCCAAGAAGACTCAGTAGAATTATGTATGCATTTCATACCATCTAGCATATATTCCCAGGCAAACATAACCTCTGTCTTCTGGGTTGTTGCGCTGTGTAGTCTGGTCGATGGTTACCCACGTTTCAGGGCCCTGATGACAGAGGCAGTATGACGTCTGAAACGTTGGTAACCATCGACCAGGCTACACAGCGAAACAACCCAGAAGACAGAAAGCTTCATACTCACCGCTGTGAAAACCTCAAATCTTACAAACATAACTTTGATTTCACTACCTTAAGAATACTGTATACGTCAAAGTTCCTCATTATGTAATACTGTAAACTGCCCTCCTATTTGATCAGTTGAATGTCCTGTGCATTTTTTTCGAAATACTTCTGATTTATCTGGAAAGAAGCTGGGATTATAGTTGAAAATATGTATTCATTACTATAGTATGTGTTTAAAATTCAGTTGACCATCTACTGAACTTCCACATAAACCTTACTACCTTAGTACTTATACTACTTATAGAAAAAAAAATATTAAAATATTGGTTGCTTTAGAAACTGATGCACAGAAAGAACGAAAATAAATGGCTGCCAATTACATATTTTATGGCGGCCATTTCGGACTTGGTACACATCCAACCATAAATGCTTCGGAGAAAGTGAACAAATGTTCTTCGGTTACCACTAATTGTAGAACTCTTGAACATCCCGACAACTATAGCATTATCCAAAAATTACAATTGTATCAAAGACGACATGAATTACTGATATGCTATAATACACCATCAATTACAAACTTCAAGCAACTGATTTCATTTTCAATGTTTTCCCTTCTTGTATCAGTGCTAAGACGCTGTCACGTTTAACATTCGTTTCCACTTCTAATTAATTAAAAATCGAAAAAAAGCTATTCACTCCACCAAGAACAAATAAAAACATCAATTTAATCACCATGTACCAACACAATCTGGCTGTAAGACATTGTATTAAACTATGGTGTGAGCCACTACCAAGAGCTCAGTCGGTAACAGCGTTACCTACCATCCGACTCAACCTATTTCCACCTCCCCGCTATCATCAACGCCCAACAAAATTCATATTCAGAATAGGCAACTACAATCTTTTAAGATGACTATCTTCTAGGTTTTGCTCGGGACGTCCTGGCTTCAAATCATGGACCACAGGCTGGTTATCCTGATTTGGGGTTTCCATGGTTTTCGTTTCTCCCTCCAGGTCCTCAGAAATGTATTCCATCTTTACATCTCACTAAAATACAATTTGCTATACTGTTTATAGGTTTGGGGCGTGCCGGCGTGCACAGCTGCCATCTGGTTTACCTGCAACATCACCACATTGTAGACACTGAACGCTTCTGGTGGACACTCAGCCCTCCATTTCGACAATGTTTTACACGTGATCAGATTAACTAAATTTTAACGACATTTTAATGCATGGTTAATAATCTCATGGAAAATGTTAGAATGCAATTACTACCTTCATACTAAGAGCAATACGAAAGAACGTTTTTGATTATGACATCTTGTGATACGTCATAATCTAGACCAGTGATAAATTTTGATCATAAACTGAGTATTTGAATAAGAAACATATCAAATATGCGCCAAAATGCTAGATGCTACACTCTCAATGAGACACAAATTCTAAAAAATTATACATATTTTAAATAGAAATATGTCTTGTAATTAATGCACGAACAAAACAGGAAGCTTTTCGGGGCGCTTTTAATTTTCTGCTTTCTTCTTTTTATGCCATATAAAATCCACAAATTATATGCAATTCTACACCTTTGTCATTCTCCATCAGGGGCATGTTAATATTTTCAAGGCCAAGATAATTAATTTCACAGACAAGATATTATTAGGTAATATCACTGAAATCTATGTGCATTGTTAAAATTGTATTCTATTCTGTCTTTCCGTTAAGACTTCATTTGAGACTCAGGATAAAATAACAATGAAGCAAATATGTCCTGTAAATAGGATACCAATTACCTTATCATCACGGCAAAAAATTCTGTGTTGCATGTAAAAAAGAATTTAAGGTTGCTATGATACAGACACGCATTAAACTTAGGTTAATTCTTTTTTTAAATTTCCAGTTACAATAAGACGATCCTGTTTGGCCAAAGAACGATGCATTCCTGTGAAGTTACAATAAAATTATTTATTTCATCCCAAAAATATGTCGTAAGACACCTCTGCTTTTAGAAAAAGGCATTACGATTACACTGCAAATGCGTAAGACAAATTGTTTCTTGTTTTTGCTCTCCCAAAAGTTTGGTTTCGTATCAAAAATCCCTTCTAAACATTGGTGAAAATAGACAACTAGAAACTTATTATGCTAAAAACAGAATAAAACCCCTTGATTTGAGCATTTTGAAGACCACCAGTTAGCTTCATCACAAATAACAATTATCGGACCTGAACTAAGGTTCAAAGAACGATGCATTCCTGTGAAGTTACAACATAAAATTATTTATTTCATCCCAAAAAAATGTCGTAAGACACCTCTGTTTTTAAAGAAAGCATTACGATTACACTGCAAATGCGTAAGACAAATTGTTTCTTGTTTTTGCTCTCCCAAAAGTTTGGTTTCGTATCAAAAATCCCTTCTAAACATTGGTGAAAATAGACAACTAGAAACTTATTATGCTAAAAACAGAATAAAACCCCTTGATTTGAGCATTTTGAAGACCACCAGTTAGCTTCATCACAAATAACAATTATCGGACCTGAACTAAGGTTCAACACGAAAAATGATCGCACCAAAGAGACAATTTTAAAAAAACGAATCACGATTTATAAATACGTAAACAAATAAAATAATTTTAATTTTTTTTAGTGATTTCCCAATAATCCAAACAATGACCTCAATTTCGGGAAAGCACCGTTCTTTGTTTCACCCGCTCGCCACGTTGAGGCACAGGATATGAGCGGGACCTGAAACAATCAAAACAAACGAAACGCCTTCTATAAGAAGAGAACCAAAGAAATGTGAATTAACAACATCAACGAAAACAACTTACCTGTGCCGTTGGCAATCCTGATCTCTTTCTTCTGTTGCAGATACACAAACTTCGTGATTTAATGATGGCGTGTAATATTTGATGATTGGAGTTGCCCACATTCAGTGGTACAACTCAGCCACAAATGAAATGAATCGAATTCTTCGCAAAACAAAACCTCGACGGTTCTACGCATTGAAGATGCAACTAAAGTCTCTCGAGTTCGACGGACGAACCGATCACTTATAAAAGAAAATCTCGATAACGAGGCCCTACCAACGATCTGACTCTGACTTGCCTACGTGATTACAGAAAACAAAATTTCTCGTCCTATTAAGAGGTGAAATCGCAGCTTCGATACTAGTAACAATCCAAACTCGATTTGATTTTGAGATAAACGTATTATTACGAGATTAAGTTTTCATTCGCGTCAAATTCTAACGCCTACGGCATTTTGGAGATTCCAACTTCCACGCAAAACGCAAATGTAACTGACCGATTAATAACCTGCATTTCATTGTCACGTAATAATTATTCGCACGCACAAAGAGTTTCTTGTAAGTAACAACATTCAATCTTTTTCTCTAAGTTGAATCTCCAGTTCACAATACAGCCTGAAAAAAAGCATTAATCTCAAAGACAAACCTAACACACACGGTACTAAGATGAAGCCATGACCAGCCTGGGGGCGGACTGACATGAAAAGAAAGTGTCGCAGCTAAAGTCCTGCAAAAAACGCCCATCCAAAAGAGTTAGAAAAAAAGTTTTGGTTCTACGTTACAGAGTACGCGCTGCTCCTCTAGAAGAGGTCCTTGGATCGATGCCTGAAACTGAAAAGCACAACACCACACAACACCACACAGCACAACACAACACAACACCACACAGCGTCGCAGATACTTGAGAGAGCCTTGTATCAGATTCAGCACTACACTTTTCAAAATGAAAAAGAAGGGGGACACGCTCTGGCTTGAAATTAAGAATCGCAAGATCAAAAAATCCGCCCTTTAACTACAATATTCTATATACAGCAGTTTTAACCCACAAGGCAGGCGCTAAATTGACGATTCACTAATAAACAGACACGACGTGTCTCCTCTCGCGAGCACAAGAAATTAAACTCGCGAACCACACACTACCAACCT